GTGTGTGTGTGTTTAGAATCACGTAAAACTGAAGGTTGTGTGCCTTCTTCAAACCTAATTTAATAAACTTACATCTGACAAGAGAACTTTCTCTTCCTGAAGGACTTTATAATATATGCAGTAATAATTAAAAAATTAATACATTACTGTATAAAGTTATCCTTAACATTTTAGTTCTTTTTGTAGAATCTAACGTATTACACAGGAACAAAGCTGGTCATATCTTTGATTTTACTAATGTCACCCTAATTAAAAACGAAGATAATTCTTTAAAGAAAAAATACTTTGAAAGCTTAATAGTGACTTCATTACCAACTACAAACACACGCCTTACATCATCGGCATTTCTCTTTAAATGCATTCAAAAAGAACCTAACTTATGTCTATTATATACAAACATTACGTATATGAAAACAGCCTCAGAGAGAATTGTTCGTCGATGGATTATCGTGACCAGGTGTACTGAGCTGGTTGAGAGAGTTGATCAAACAAGCCGTATCATGCACGTTCTCCCAGAGATTAAGGTTCAGACAGCACAGTGGCATCAAAAACGGATAGATCATCTGTAAGAGAGATTGGCTAGCAGCCATAGGAAACAAACATAATATCTAGATTAAAAGCGGCCAGCCATTATATATATATATATATATATATATATATATATATATATATATATTCAAACATATATTGTTAGATATAACACACAGCGAATGTCTATTATGTTTGATCATGAAACGTTCTAAGCTTCGTATAATGGCTTTACTTTCTCACGTGGTCTTGGACGATGTCACAGATTTGCATGGCGAATTTACGACCTGCGTTTGCTATTCCGCAACCGTTATAGTCGCAGAGCAAACCTCTATATAAACATAATAGAATGTCATATCTGATGGTGAACATCTCTGTTTTAATGTCCATATAACTAATCTGATGATGCCGCATGTGAGCCGAAAGCTCAGATCGATGAACGGCATACTAAAAAATATCCAAATGTTGAATATATTTTGTCTTTACTTTCTCCCGAAACTAAAGCCACTATACGAAACCTTAGAACAGCTCATGATCAAGCATAATATACATTTATTGTGTGTTATATTTAACAATATATGCTTGTATAATGATCAGCTACCCAAATACGCTATATATATATATATATATATATATAATTATTTATTTAAAAATATGATTCCAAATCGCTACATAAGAGGTCTCATGTTTCAAAAACAAGAGCCGAAAACTTCAATATAATCCTTTAAATTAAATTGAGTTTAAATTAAAATGGCCTCCGTTCCATCTTCAAGCGAAATTTTTGTTGAATAACGTATATCTGAAATTTACTTGTTTTAAAATTGAAATCAAAATCCCCATGGTAACAGCTAGGGCGAATTGTATACATTGGGTAGGCGAGTGTAGGGTGTTAATAATAAGTAGCGGTATAGAGATACTTTCAAGATGTCAAGTCGGGAAAGGTGGGGTGTCTAAAATGAAACGGAAGATGTATTAACCTTCGTCTAGTTTGCTTGTCTATGGAGATTTATTTATTTATTTTATTTTATTTTATTATGAAAGGGAATTGTGCATATAAAAAAAAGAAAAACTTTCGTAACGTTTGATTTTTGACGACTTCATAAAGGGTTATCTTTTATGTAAGGTATTTAAACTACTAATTTGGGCTATGGATTATGAAGGGTGTTATGTTGTATGCATGTTTGTAGTTAATTATTCCTACTATGAATCTGATGATTGGGCTATTTGTTAAACAGGTTATATAATTTTTTTTTTGGTCTAATAATTCAAACCAAAAATCTGATGATACCTACAAAAAACCGTTAACTCGTGTCTATTATTTAATAGATTATTATTATTTAGAAGTTTAATAATGTGCAATTTTTCATGGAGGCACAAAGGGCATGGGTCATCCCAAGGTTTACATATTCTAGCCTTGTCAATAATTTTCCATTTAACTTTTGGTGTCCTATTTGTTTCCTTCAGGTGCCAAAAATATTTTGATAGTGAAGTCTGATTTCTTTTGTTTATATTATTAAAGGAGCACTTATGCTGCCTCCATCTATCTTTAAAATTATTCTTCGTGGACCCAGTGTATATCATATTAGTGCTAGGGCTCTCTGTGGATGAAATATTACATTGGTATACCACAGAATTAATATAACATTTTCTAATGGGCAGTCTTCTGGGTTTCTACAGTTACATAATTTTTCCCTTTTATCGTCTGATTTAAGTGCAGAGTTTTTATTAATACTGTTTTGGCATGGGGGTTTGTTCAAGATCTTATTATTGTGTTTTTATATTATGCGTTCAAGATTATCAGAGCAGCTGTAACTCAATTTTAGGGTGTTCTTATTGAATATATTACTAAGCTTACTATTGGTGGGGAAGTGTTTATTAATTAGAGCTAAGAATTTATGTCCTAGTTTAATACTAACGCTTTGGTTGAACGGAGGGGTGTACCAAATGATATTTCTTTTCCTGTTTTTTTTCCTATGGCCAGTGTAATTTTCTCTGTAGTTAATGTTAGCATTTTTATAACCACTATTTTTTAGGGCAGTGTTATATAAGCCATTGTGTTGTTGGAATATTTCCTTGTTTGCGGAGTTAATGCTAATTCTATTTTCTATTGATGAGGGTATATGTTTAATTATTGATGGAGGATGGTTTGACTTCGGGTGTATGTATAAAGGGTTAGCATTTGGTTTTCTGTAAGGTTGGTATGTGTTGCCTGGTAAGTCTAGAGTTACGTCGAGGAAGTTAACCCTTTTCAAATTAGAAGAGACAGTTATCTTTAAGTTTAGTTTTTTAAATTCACTAAATATAATTTTTCTGATTTTTTCAATCTTAAAACTAGTAGAACTCCTCACCACCATGAGCCCGTCATCTCTATA